ATGCCCACACTGAACAGTGTTACCTTACAGGTCTTACTTAGGACGTGCCGGGAGAGGGACCTCCCTGACAGCGGAGGGGCAGGGGCTACGGGGTGCACTCAGCAATGAACCGGATATGAATCCAAGGAATGTCACTTGATAATAAATAAGCTGGACATGTACAGCTACACAACTCCACATAATCCAACTAAAGTAGATTAGTGTCCTGCTTTGACCCTCTGGTTTCACATACCGAGTGGTGAACTTTTTATGTCCGGCTAATACTACTATACTTTACTTGCGTGGTGGAGTGACAGACATTTAAGTGTATCTGGAATACACTGTGGGTGTGCTGCTACATCAGCAGGCCTGGTTAAGCAGGATTCAAACCTACAGCGCCCTTGGTGAAATCCATTAGGCCTGCCAGGGAAGGGCTTAACCACTACGCCATCCCTCTGGTCATATGTAATTGACTGAGACTAGCTAATTCACTTAAAACCAACGGATTAACACACTTGCATGATATTGAATGATATGGCGGTGTTTTTTTTTTTCTTCTTTCTAGAAGAAAAATTTTAAGAGGGCTCAACCGGGAATCGAACCCGGGGCCACTTCCATATCAGAACGTTGTTATTGCCAACGCTGGGTTGTTTCCCACCCGAAGGAAGTATCATACCTCTAGACCATTGAGCCAATACGATTATGGTATCTTTGTAATGATGACTACATACCGCCGAACTAGAGCGTAGAAGTATCACGTGAGGGTCATTTATTCTTCACCTTTTCGCCGCGGAAGAATTTCCAGCGGTGCGAGCGCACAGGGAGAGAGTGTGAGGAAGGAGTGACTTAAAAAAATATAATCGGCCACATCGGGGGAGGCAGAGAACTTCAACGTCGACGTTAACATCACGCCTATGAGTCTTGGAAGGAGAGAAAGAAGGCAGCTGTTAGGTCATTATTAGGTTGCTTCCTAGCATCGAGTTCATACAGAAAACAAGACAAATATTCACTTCTTGCGGTTTATTCAGTGTT